AATGTTGCAGGCCGATTTAAAACATGATTTTCTTCTCCAGAACACTGACGCACAGTTTGAAGTGTATGCTTGAATGGCAGGATACACAGTATTGCTTCTTTTCCTATTGGATATTTCCTGTTCTTCTTGGCTAGGAATCAGCAGCACAACTCTAAAAGCAGCTTTCAGATATTTGGGTATATCCACACCGTAAATTTATGCTTTCAAAACAATAGCAAAACACATTTTCTAGTGTTTGGTCTAGAGGTGAATGTTTAAAATTCAACAGTGCTTCCAGCGACTGCATTTCCCCCATCTCAGGATCACTCCCAGAGCCTGCAGGTCTTAGGACAGCATTAAGGCATTACTGTTGCACTGGAGCAGAACCACAGTTATGACAGTGAGGGGAATAAATTAGAGGAGCTTACGCAAGACAGTGTGAAGAAAGATACGTGCTTATGAAAAAGGTTTTTCACAGGACCTCTGAGAAAAAACAGTGAAAAGATCTTCCACCTGTTTCAGGGCCAAAAGAAGCATTTCCTGAGGCTGTTTATGTTTGTAGGCTATGACAACACTTGACAAACTGCATACACTACAGAAAAGGTTTCACGGCATATGTGATGTCACAGGAAATCTGAGAAAAAAAAATACATGCACACAAAAAGAACATGCAATCTATGATAGATAATTTCTGCAGCCTAAAATTGCTAATTTGTAATGTGACTTCTGCAAGTAAGGATTTAAGAATCCTGTTACAGTAGAAGCAACATATTTCAGAAAAAATGTCATTTCCCACATAAATACATTAATTTATTGTCCTTACTTAATTTCTACCACAAGAAATCTTCATTCTTTCTAGGCTACCAACAACTTCTTTGCTCTGAAATTTTATTTGCAGGGTAAATTGATACAGTGAAGAATAGGGGAATTTCTCAAAAAATTTATTACATCATTTGCTCCATTTCATCACCTGTGTGGGCATTTGTTGCATTTATCTTTTAAAGTAATCTTTTCCCCTTTTTGGAGGGGCAAAAGTCTTTACTTCTTCATCCAAAGAGTCTGAAGGAAATGTGAAAACCCGGTTACCGGTTACCGGTACCTTGAAGGGGACAGTCACTACCAGCCTCTGTTGGTGCATCCGCCTCATCTGCTCCATTGCTTTTGATTTTGCAGGGGAAACTCGCAGCTCCCATGCAATGAGTACTGAGTTGCTGCAGGTACAGCTCTGACACCCAGCGGCCGCTTCACTCACGACCTGCTCCTGGATTCCAGACCGTTCCAAACTTGGCTTCAATTATCGCTCAGAAGATAATTTCTGCTTTAAAAACAATGCCTTTCAGTGATTTCTATAGGTAAGCTTCTGTTGTTTAGAACTCTAAAATATTTATTAACACTACTACAGGGGGCCAGACAATTGCAAAATATTTTTATTTTGATAATTATATTTAATAGTATTCAGTATGAAAACTTTCAAACCTCCTTGAATGCTGAATTATTCAGAAATGCCAACCACACAAGCACATTAGAACTCTGTAATAATTCTCACTTTATAACTCCACATCTGTGCATGCATATATGGAGAACTGCATATAAATACTTGTTACTTGCCTGTTGACTAATTATTTTATCTATTTTTTTTCTTCCTGGTTCTGGTTAGCTTGTCTTGTATTCACAGAGATGTTTTTTATCACAGCCAATACAGTGACATTTCTGTGCACATTTTCCCAGAGTTCTGGGTGTTTGAATTCAGTGTCTTATTCTGTCCCACTTTCAAGCTTGCTGAAAAATTCAGTTTTAGACTTCCAGGATATATTTTTTTAAACTGGAATTCTAATGTTTATTTTATTAAATGCAGTTACTGATTCTACGAACGCCTGCAAGAGATGGATAAGCTCCTGGGCATCTTTCTATTAAAAAAATGGATTCTTTTAATCAATACATCTCCTAGCTTGTTCTCAAGGTGACAATTTGAAAGCGACACAGAGGTCAGTCCTATATGTCATTGTGTTGTCTCTGAACATCTGTCAAATGGTAGTGCCCTTCATAAAGTCCCACTCTTTATAAAGATACAATTTTAAAAAGAAACGAAAGTTTTCCCACATTTTAAGTAGATTTTTTCCATTTCCTTCTGTATATCAGCACATAGTACATCCTTTCACCACAAAACAATTGGCTCTCAAGCATCTCAGTGATGTTTATTCTAGTAAAATAAACCTTTATGGCTTTTCCTTTATGGAGGTCATCTCTGTTCACCCTACTCTCAGCAACTACATATGCAGTCTCTAAGATGTTCACCATGTTAAACTGCACCTCTTGTAGGACTAAGGTTGGAAGGACTAAGGTTGGAAGGCTGAGCCTGCAGTGAGAAAGAAGACATTATGGATAGTAACAGGACAAGGGTGAATGGTTTTAAACCAAGACAAGGGAGGTTTAAATTAGATATTAGGAGGAAGTTTTTTACACAGAGGGTGGAACAGGTTGCCCAAGGAGGTTGTGGATGCCCCATCCCTGGAGGCATTGAAGGCCAGGCTGGATGTGGCTCTGGGCAGCCTGGTCTGGTGGTTGGTGACCCTGCACATAGCAGGAGGATTGAAACTACATGATCTTTGTGGTCCTTTTCAACTCAGGCCATTCTATGATTCTGCGATTCTAAGCTATAAACCAGAGTCGTGTACAAACAATTCCAAGATGAAACAAGAGGCCACTAATATTAGAAAGCTTGGAGTAGATTTCTGAAAGATAGTTTCCTTAGATTACCTCTCTAAAGTCCTGCTGAATACCTAAAGTGCTCGGTCTCCCTATCGTAGTCAGCATCTCAAGTGCTTAATGTGACATTTTTACATTTGTTTAACATTTTTTTTTCTTCAGGAGAATAAAACCAACTTGCACTCTCTCTCATCTGGCACAGGCTAGCCCCTAAGAATGTACCTCACTTCTTTGTTACATTGGTGAGTTTCCTTCCTGATTGTCTCTGGACCAGATTTTTAAAATATATAAGTCACAGACAGCTTTTTCAAAGTTCCAGAAGTGGGATACCTCTGCCTTTTTCTGCAGGAGCAGTGTTTTACTTTTTTTTTTTCCCCCTTGGTCTCTCTGGAAGCAACTACAGAATGCAATTGCTGTATCCAGCTGTGTAAAACTGCTTCCTGCTAAGTAAGCCTTGATAATGACTCTACAGATCCTCATAAAGACAAAGCAAAACAAAAATTATAGTCCTCATTTAGTTCACTGCAATAAAACAGTTTAGGATATTGCTTTATTGCTTTGACACGGCTTTCCATGGCCTTGGCTTCATAAGCTGCTCATTTGTAAAGAAGAGGCCTTGAATCATCTGGATTCGATTTCTGTGGATTTCTTTGGACTACTCAGCAGTTAGAAGGAAAGCAAGAAATAGCTTGAAATGTCCTATCAGAAAATTTCTGGCTATGTGTCTTTCCTGTTTTAAAGCAAGTAATTAAAGTCAATGTTCCCATATGAAAGCACATATAGTTCCACACCTTTTGTATTTAACATGAATTTTTAAATAGCTCTCTTGAAGAGAGTTAGAAAGACTACTTATTTGATGAATAATGGAATTTATTTCAGTCTCAACTTCGACCAAGTTAGATAGGTGATACAAATTATAATTTATGATTTTTATATCTACTCATGAGTTTAATATCCACATGAAATACTACGTGCATCAACAAAAGGAAAAAAGAAATCTTTTCCAATGATAACATTTGATTTTGACTTAAATGTATCCCTTGTGCCTGCTTAGCTGCAAAGTTTGACTGAGGAAAAATAAGAGTTATGCTTATCATAATGGAAACAGGATGGGACCTATAGTACCTTAACACATACTGGAGCTGCACTGCCCTTACCAAAATATTTCTTTTGAGGGGACCCTCAAATTCAGTGCACTATTTTAGCATTTCTCAGTAAGGAGCTCCTGCAATGAAGTTGTCACAGAAATGCACTGCCCTTTAAGCAAAGAGCTAATGAGAGCGTTAGCACCTCATGGCTATTTTTGTTAGAGCTCTCTTCCTCCAGAGTCAGACTTCCTGTGTCACTTCTTTAAAAGCAAAATAAGACATAATCTGTACAGAGACAATGCCAGGAGCAGGGAAACATGAGCTTTAGGAGACGCTCCATTAATTTTGCTTTCTGGCATTTCCTGTTAAATGGAGATGTTCTGGTTTTGTTCCCAAAGCCTCATTATAGAGTTACAGGATCATTAAGGGTGGAAAAGACCACTAAGATCAAGTCCAGCCATCAGCCCATCCCTACTGTATCACTGTGTCCCTCAGTGCCACATCCACACAGTTCTCAAACACCTCCACGGACGGTGACTCCACCACCTCACTGGGCAGCCTCTGCCACTGCCTCACCACTCTTTTGGAGAATTTTTTCCTAATATCTACATAACTTACATGGATACTAAGATAATATCTAGGTAGCTTGTGGCCAGATGTGCTAGCAAATGCTCACGTGATCCTCAGATGGGTGAATTCAGCAGAATTTGTAACACTTAAGCTGTGCTTTTCCTTTAGGAATTAACTTGAGGTTTTGGTGCTGGTTTCAGGGAGATTCAGCCTTGTTTCTGGCTTGGGAATACCAGGTCCTCAAGCACACCTTTAACAACAACGAGTAGTACAGACATTGGTCTGTAGTCATATCCTCGCCTGCCTCACTACCAGATTGCTCAGTCAAAGTAATGAATAAGAAGTTAATTCAGTTCATATGGTATTAGTACTAATTACTCTCAGAGAGACTGACAGCAGACTCCGAGGGCTCCCCTAATGGGACAGCTGTTTAGTCTGTCGCGTTGCTCCGCAGCCGGGGCGCTAGCCGGGCTCTGGGTCCCTCTCAGCCCGCAGAAGCAGCCGGCACAAGACACGCAGCTCCACTCCAGCGCCACCCAGGACTACACCTCCCAGCACGCCTTTACAGGCGCGCATGCGCGCTGCGTCCCAGCCGGCCGATGTGGTCGGCGAAACCCCTTCCGCTCTCGGTTTAGGGGAGCGGAAGTGGCGCACGCCGTTCGGTGATGTCACTTCCGTCCGCCATTTGACTTGACGGGGCGGCGCCATGACGGACCGCTACACCATCCACAGCCAGTTGGAGCACCTCCAGTCCAAGTACATCGGGACGGGCCACGCCGACACCACCAAGTGGGAGTGGCTGGTGAACCAGCACCGCGACTCGTACTGCTCTTACATGGGCCACTTCGACTTGCTCAACTACTTCGCCATCGCCGAGAATGAGAGCAAGGCGCGCGTCCGCTTCAACCTCATGGAGAAGATGCTGCAGCCCTGCGGGCCGCCCGCCGACAAGCCCGACGAGTCCTAACCCTGCGCCCTGCCCGCCGGCACCGGCCTCGCTGTGACTCCGCACGCCGCGGGGAGATGGAGGGAGTCGCCTCGTCCTCTTGTCCGCGTCCTGTGTTCGGCGAAGAGTGTTGGAGGGAGAAGGAAGCTCTGTAAAACGCCCGCTCTTGGACACTTTGGTTTCTCTTAGTTGCACAGATGTTTGCCCTTTGTTTTTTTAATGGGAAATAAAATCTACTGGGCATTTCTAACGTGTTGTGTGGTAATCTGCTGATAAGAGCTGTTGGTTCGAAAGGGAATACTGATATATTAATTTTTTCAGTGCAGCTGTCCAAATGCTTAACAGATAAGATGATAGTACCTTGCCAGCCCTGCTAGCTGGTGCCAGTCGCCAGCATTGTTTGTTGGGAGGGAGAAGCAGAAGTCTGTTGGCACTGAAAGGCTTTGATTTATTGTCAGCGTTTCTTGAATTGAGTGATCTGTGACTAAATACAGGCCAATTACTTAAGGGCCCTTAAACTCCAGAGTGACTTTTCTTCATGGACTGTTCTATGCCTCATCTTCCTTTTCCCTGTATGTTGCATTTTCCAAATACTTATTGTGTCTATTCCAGCTTAGTTTCTTTTTTACTTATGTTTGTAGCCATCCAGTGATTTAAAAATGTTTCCATGATTCACTGCACAAGTGAGTATGAATGTGGGGCTTAGGCACTGTAAGTAAGAGTGCTGTGGAGGCAAAGGAAAAACTGAACTATTTGCCAAATGACTTCTCAACATTTCTTCCTGTAAGAGAGAAAAAAAATGAGTTATTACTACTTTGAAGTAAAATGCCTAGAAACTCCCATAAAGTGACTTTCACTTTAGTTCTATTCAGGCTGCAAACAAGATGGATGTTAGGTTTGTCACCTAAAATAGGTTTTCTCTTATTGTAGTAAAAATAAAATTTGATTTCTAATAGAAAACATCAAAGTAAAACATGGCTAAGGTTGTACGCAAATTTACCAATGGTATTTTTGAAGTTGGTGATCTCAGAACTTCTGAGCAATAGATGCCTCATACTTTTTACTGAGCCTTATAAACTAAGCTGTTCAAAATGCTGCAGTAAGAACAGGAGCATTCACTCCTGAGGTCACGTTCAAGCCACAGTATCCATCTGAAGAACTCAGAAGCTCAGAAATAGCTTTTTGTTGCTGTTACACGTACTACAGTGAAGGCAAAGATGAAATGATCTTGAATAAATGAAACTTGTCAGATCTGTGGGGGACTACTGCAGTTTTCAAGAAAGTAGTTTGTAGGAGTAATTTTTAGAAAATGCCTCTTCTGCACTTTTCACTGCAATTCATCTTTAAAATTGGTGTTTTCTGAAGGGTTGTGTTGTACTTCAAAATTGGTGTAGCAGAACAGCTTGAAATAGATGTGCAAGCTGGTGTAGGTAATTTAAAGAGAACAGTTCCTTACCAATGAAGAAACATGGCTGGAATATTTTCCTTGAATGAGATCAGATACTTCAAAGTAGACACGAGATACAGTTTTGCAAAAATCAAGCAAAACTCATATATAAATAAAGCCAGCTTTCTCGTTGCTGTTCTAAAGCAAAGCTTAGAAACTTGTCTTTTCCATATGTGAATAGTCAGTATGCTTGATGGAAGAGAACAGAATGGGAAAATTATGTTTCTCTTGCTATACATACATCATACCAACTCTTACATTCTTACTCTTATACTCTCTTTGGGGGCTGGGAGGAGAACAAGCCAGGAACTTGAGCCTCAGTGCAGTGACTAAGGAAAGAGTGAGAGTATGGAGGCTTCTTTAATGGATTGGAAAATGGATTTGCAATTTTTTGTTAGAAGGAATACATGGATGGAAAACCATGAGCTATGCAACTTAACCCTGCAAAAAATTAGAATGAAATACATTTCAAGACAATTTTCTTTCAGACTAAACTGCTAACAGCTCTGTCTACGGATACTCAGTACTCACAGAATATTTAAAAATGTGAGCAAGAAGGGTCGGGCACATGGGTGGAGCTGAACACCTCCCTCCCACAGGCCGTCTTTTCATGACATAAGCCATGCTGCTTTCAGGGAGAAGTCTGAGTTACACGGTGAATTAACCTGTTTGCTGGTTCTGCTGCATGCATACATAACATTGGGATCTCAGTTAAGCACGTGTGTCTTTTTGTGCAGTAGGGAAAAGTTTTTTGAGAGGCTGTATTAAGTTCTGATTGTGAAACATTACAAACACTTTCTTAGGAACTGCAGTAACCTGAAGGAAAGTTAGTATTCCTAAGTATTCCAGTCAGACTTGGATAAAACTGGGAGAAACTGAAGAGTTTGTTTCCAACCTTTGGCACTTCCTAAGTCTCAAACCATTTTCACAACCATTCAGGGAAGGCAGTGAACTCTCCCATTTGATACTGTAAAACTGAAAAGAATGGAGTTAGCTGCCAAACCCATTGGGATGCACTTTTTTTTTCCCTCAATCCTGATTTAAAGATGAAAGATAGCATTTATCTATTAAATGGCTTAGTGCTTTGCATTCTGTTCTTCTATCCAAGCAGTATGCCTTTGATTGGCTTTCCTTTGTGTGATCTCCATCTCATTTTCCTAAATTTATGTAGCTTAATATTAGATAAAGTGAAGTGTGAGAAATATAATTTGTTTCTAATGCAGATATGCCTTGTGTTTGGCACAAAGGAATTTCACCTGTTCTGTTCTGCCAACTATCCTGTCTTTGTAAGTTCTCTGTGGAGTAGAATGTATACATTCTATTGTATTGATATTGATATTGATATTGATATGCTATTCTATTGATATTTTTAATTAAAAATTCTAATAGATGTTATATGGTATTTAATAACTATTTAGGTAGGAATACAATACCAAAATGACTTGGGTAAGATTTCTAAATAAAGTGAGAGCTCTGAGGATGGCAGGTGTAAGTGAGGAGAAAAGCCTGCTCACAGTGCTTTAATAATGGATTATTCAAGAGAAGGAGAATCAAACTTGGCTCTTACAGAAGAAGGATGCAAAGCTTTGAGCTGAGAGGGTTCATTTTGCTTACAAACCGGATATACTCGATACAGGGAACATTACAATAGAAGTGCACTACTACTTTCATTTTTAATTCTGTTTCTTACTGTTCTCTTGGTAATGTGTTTGCCTTACATATCAGATAGAAGTGTGAGGATCAATGAGTTATCCTGGGAATTAAGAAATCTTAACAGTTTGCTCAATTTATGTATTCCCAATTTCCAATAAAAGTGAATTTTCTTTTATATGACACCAGAGGGCAGCAAATGACAGTGCTGTTCAAATGAGGGCATGCTATTACTTGGAATAAATAGAATTGTGCGTTATCTTCCAAAGTTCCTCTGAAAGAAATAGATGGGTACTTTAAAAATTTGCTAAAACTTACCAGTAAGCAGAAATGCTAAGCTTTTTCCTATGGGACTGTTCTAAGGTTCAGATATATTATACCTTTTATTCTGAATAGGTAAATAGAGCAATATGGAAAACCTGGTACAGAACTACAGCTCTATCATTTTGAGTACTTTGTCTTTCCCCTTCCCTTCCCTTCCCTTCCCTTCCCTTCCCTTCCCTTCCCTTCCCTTCCCTTCCCTTCTCTTCCCTTCCCTTCCCCTTTCTTATTTATTGGAACGACAGCAGTGCCTTAGTTAACGCTTTCATGGTGAAGCAATTGCACTAGTGAGTTATTTCCTGCACACAATCCAACTGAAGTAACTCCTTTCACTTTAGTTAAATTCAGCATAAAACTCGAATTTGTTTTTTAAGATCATTTAAATAAATATTCATGGGTAATAATGGTTTGTAAACATCACACAAAGTCAGGAGGTGGTGTTTAAACAGGCTTAAAGCCTGACTGCACATGATGTTGACATAGCTGAATCACGTGAGCTGCTGTCAACAGGCTGAGATTAAGCAACTGGAAGCAAAAACAATTGAAAGTCACTTTTTCTAAAGGAAGAAAACAGTATGTTTTATATTCCGAGCCAGAAATTTTTACAGTCTGTGTGGAAAGTTTGGAGTAACAGCCTGCAGACTGCTGTGCAATTGGATGCATGCATTGCTAAGCTCACATGTGTAAGGCCTGGAAATCCAGAGCACTGCTATTAAACGGTGATTGCAGTGGTCACATGCCATGGGCAGGCTTCTGGTGGCACAGGCAACCAAGCCTTGCAGTGTCTGGTGCTTAAGTAAAATCTAGGTACTGTTCTTGTAATATCAATTAAAAGTGTTTTGTTTTGTTTTGTTTTTTCAAAAGGGAAAATTACCCTAATATTTTCGCTCTAATAATTTTCCCAGTATTTATCAGCAACTAGGGTTAATCCCTACAGTTCTAGTATGCATCGCGCTTATTGTGCTTGCTGTTTGATCTGCAGCATTAATGAAGAAGTGTTATATAAAGGAGGTGGAAGTGCTATTGTTAAATGTAGTTTTTCAAGAGCAATGATCTCCCAGTGTCAGGTTCAATATCTAGATAAAATTAGTTGCATTTTAAGCATCTTTTTTTTTCCTATCCCACCTTTTCCAGAGATAGCATGCGTCCAGTCTTTAAATATCCCTTATGAAGTCACTAGTCAGACAAAACTTCCTGGAGGAATTTTTCAAAGGAAATATTTTGATGCTGTACTAAGGGATATGGTTGTGTGGGGGGTTATTAGTAGTAGGTGGACAGTTGGACTAGATGGTTTTGGAGATCTTCTCCAACCTTAGCAATTCTATGATTCTTCCTTGCTGAAATTATTCTGAGAGCTAACTCAGATAGAGGGGTACGAGCAGATTACAGATCCCAAGCTGCAGTTTTCTGAAGTGTCTTGTTTCTGTAGCATTTGCATCTGCTACGACAGTGTTGCAAGTAAAACATTCAGGCTGTAGCTCTCTGAACTAGGTTTTGAAGAATGACTAGAGCATGAAATAATCAAACAAGGAGAAGAAGATCAAGAACAGAGCATCTGGTCCATTTTGCCCCTTAATTTTGCAAAAAGTCTTCACATTAGTCAGTGTTCGAGAATAGGCCCTTATTCAATCTCTATAGAGTAGTAAAAGCTGTAATAACTAGAGGGAAATGTTTCTTTAGTATTGTTTCCTTCTGTTAAGTCTGTAAAGCATCAGACTTATGAAAAACAAACTGTGAGACATCACTGGCTGGACCTATGGAGCTGGACCTCCACCAGCTGCCCTGAGAGTCTGCCCACAGGCTGGGAAAGTAGCTTACACCCACACCAAGGC